TATATATATATATATATATATAAAATCAGAGAAAAATCTCAGAACAAGAAAGATAACTATACATGAAAGAACATGCTTATAAAACAGGAAGGGGAATTCATGTCAATAATTGATTCAAAACTCTTAAGACTTCTGAAAACATAAGGTAACAGGAAAACAAATCCTACCTCCCCTCCAAAATACACAATTTCCTATCAAAGAATCCTGCATAAGTGGATGAAATTCCACAGTAAAATTATAAAAAACTGACTATTAAAATGTTCAATGAACTTTAGACCAATATCTCTGATGAACATTGGTCTAATTGATGCAAAAATTATCAATAAAATTCTGGCAAATTGCATACAAAAAAGTATTTAAAAAATAGTGCATTGTGATCAAGTGGAGTTCATTCCAGGGATGCAAGTTTTGTTCAACATACAGAAATTAATAAATATAATTCATTACATCAATAGACTTAAAGATAAGAGTCATGATTATATCAATTGATGCAGAGAAAGCATTTGACCAAATACAGCACCCTTTCCGGTTCAAAACACTAGAAAAACTAGGGATAGTAGGAACATTCTTCAACATTGTAAAAGCTATCAATGCTGAACCCAAGGCAAAAAACATTCTAAATGAAGAAAAATTAGAAGTATTCCTCTAAAAACTGGAACAAGACAGGAATACCTCTTGCACCACTTCTATTCAATGTAGTCCTTGAAATTCTAGTCAGAGCAATTAGACAGATAAAAAAATTAAAATTTAAAAATGGTGGAATGTGATGGACATTATCCTAGGTACATTAATAGGAAAAGAACTCAAACTATCATTATTTGTTGATGCATATGATTCTATACTTATAGAGTACAAAAAATTCCACCAGAAAACTTTTAGAATTAATAAAGGTATTCAGCAAAGTAGCAGGATATAAAATTAATACCTAAAAAACAAATGAATTTCTATATATCAGTGATGAATCCTCTGAGAGAGAAATTAGGAAAACTACCCCATTCACAATAGCCACAAAACAAAACAAAAAAACCCTTGGCAATCAACTTAACAAAAAAGATGAAAGACCTCTACAATGAAAACTATAGAACACTAAAGAAAGAAATCGAAGAAGACCTTAGAAAATGAAAATATCTTCCTTGCTCTTGGATAGGCAAAATTAATATTGTTAAAATGGCCAACTACCCAAAGTGCTATACAGATTCAATGCAATTCCAATTAAAATCCCAACAACATTCCTCATAGAAATAGAAAAAGCAATCATGAAAGTCATTTGAATAGCCAAAGTAATTTTTAGCAAGAAGAGTGAACCAGGAGGCATCACAATACCAGACCTTAATGTGTACTACAAAGGTATAGTAATAAAAATGGCATGGTATTGACACCAAAATAGACATGTAGATCAATGACACAAAATAGAAGACATGGAGACAAACCCACATAAATACAGTTACCTCACACTAGAAAAAAGGAGCTAAACATATACATTGGAGAAAAATAGCCTCTTCAACAAATGATGCTGGGAGAACTGGAAATCCACACAGCAAAATGAAACAAACCCCCTATCTCTCACCATGTACATAACTGAACTCAAAGTGGATCAAGGACTTAGGAATTAGACCAGAGACCCTGACCCTAAAATAAGAAAATGTAGGCCTGAATCTTCATCATGTCAGATTAGGTCCCGACTTCCTTAACAAGACTCATAAAGCACAAGAAATAAAATCAAGAATCAATAAATGGGATGGATTCAAACTAAAAAGCTTCTTCTCAGCAAAAGAAACAATCAATGAGGTGAGGAGAGAGCCTACATTTGGGGAGTAAATTTTTGCCACACACCCATCAAATAGAGCACTAATCTCCAGGATATATAAAGAACTCAAAAAGCTTAACACCAAAAAAACCAAACAACCGAATCAATAAATGGGCTACAAATATATTAAAAAATGTTCAACATCTCCAGTAACTAGAGAAATGCAAATCAAAACTACTCTAAGATTTCATCTCACTCCAATCAGAATGGCAGCTATCAAGAATACAAACAACAATAAGTGTTGGCTAGGATGTGGGGGGAAAAATACATTGCTGGTGGCACTGCAAATTGGTACAACCACTCTGGAAAGTAGTATGGAGATTCCTTGGAAAACTTGGAATGGAACCACCATTTGAACCAGCTATCCCACTCCTCAGTCTATACACAAAGGACTTAAAAATAGCATATTACAGGGACACAGCCACATCAACGTTTATAGCAGCTCAATTCACAGTAGCTAAGCTGTGAAAGCTACCTAGATGCCCTTAAATAGATGAGTGGACAAAGAAACTGAGGTACATATACACAATGGAATATTACTCAGCATTAAAAGAGAAAAAAATTATGGCATTTGCAGGTAAGTAAGCCAATCCCAAAAAAACAAAGGCCAAATATTTTCTCTGATAAGTGGATGTTTATCCATAATGGGGATGGGAGACATGGAAAAAATGGAGAAACTTTGATTGTGCAAGGGGGAGGGGGGATTTGGGGGGCAGGAAAAATGGTGGAATGTGATGGACATTATCCTAGGTACATGTATGACTGCACATATGGTATGAGGTCACATCATGTACAGAGAAATGAAAAGTGCTGCAATTGTGTACAATGAATCAAAATACATTCTGCTGTCATATATACCTAATTAAAATAAATAAATAATAAAAAATATTCAATGAACTAAAAGAATATATGAGGAATTAATAGAGAAATTCAGAGATGAAAGATCATTTTATAAAAGAGTTATTGAAAAGAAACCAATCAATACTCCTGGAAATGAAAGACACAATGAATAGAATTAAAAATTCACCTGAAACCATCATCAACAGATTTGATTTTGTAGAAATTAGACCTTCACTCTTAAAGACAGAATTTAAGTTCTTGCAGACAGCATACATGAATTTGAGTATATAGTATGAAACAAATGTGCAAAAATGATAAAATATGATCAGAATACATAAGAACTCTTGGACAATATCAAGAGAACAAACCTGAGAGTCTTTGGGCTAGCAGAGAACATGAGGATACAGTTTAAAGGCATTAAGAACAATTTCAATGTTATAACCCAAAACTTCCCCATCAGAAAGAACATAGACATCCACATTCAGAATGCAAACAGTACCTCAAATAGACCAGATTACAAAAGATGTTCTCCAAGACACATCATAATCAAAATGCCTAACATAGAAAATAAGGAAGTGTTAAATGCAGAATGAATTTAACAAAATGATGCTCTGTTCATATGTAAATATAACACAGGGCATTCCATCATCATGTGTGTGTATAAAGCACAAATCAAAATAAATAAACAAGCAAGAGGAAGATCTGTAGAGTAAAATGAGAGTAGGGTTTGGAGAAGTGAAGGGAAAGTGAATGTGAATGAAGACTGAAATGGAATGTATGTGTGACTTTTTAAAAATGAACTTAACTGTATGGTGTATAACTGTAATTTTTGTATTAAAGAATTTAAAGCATCCAATACAAAAATGTGAAATTGTGGCTGAGGTTGTGGCTCAGCAGTAGAGCGCTCATCTAGTACATGCAAGGCACTGGGTTAGATCCTCAGCAACACATAAAAATAAATAAAATAAAGGTATATTGTGTCTAACTACAACTAAAAAATTTTAAAAATGTGAAATTGATGAATAAATTTTTTTTGGATTTAAAGTTTAAAAAATGCTTAGGAACTATCTGTCTATTGTCTCTAACAGAACTTCAAATTTGATTTAGTTGGACAAAGATGAGTTTTGTGAATGATTAGACATCATCCTATATAGAATTCTCAAAAGAATCATATGTAAAATAAATTTGAAAACCTTCTCATCACATAGGCCAAACCATATCACACATAATGCAATCAAATTAAATTATCAGAAAAGTTTCCTTTTCTGGAGGAATCTCTGCAGTGAAATTGGCATGATCAAATGGCTAACATGCTTTACTTGTGGGAGTTCACAAATTTATATCGACAGACTCTAAATAAAGGAGACCTGAATTAAAAGCATTCTGAATTAAAAGTAAGACATCTCAACAATAGTTAACTTGATAAGGTAGCTGTTTGAATGACAGTGTCTTTTAAACATTACAGGGATATAAGCTTTTAGAAAAAGTGTTGTTTTAGCCAAGGAGGTAGAAAGAATTTGAGGAGTCTTGTGGATTAGTATGTGTGCATATATGCATCATACACAGGTAAAATTTTTTGTTTTTTTTTTTCACTACTGACAATGCAGGTCAGTCATATGTGTACACATACATTGGTAAAAAAATACTCTACCTCTCTGGTTGAAATCATCTCTTCTCCCCATGGGGTCACAACTAGGGATCATAATATAAGATCTCATTCAGCCTGAAACACTTGCAAGGAGGTCAATGAAAACAGTAATCTGTTAAGGTTGATGACATAAAGAGGCACCCACCATTATTTTTTTTCAACTCTTCCACAAGGCAGCGGGCTTCCTCTTGAATTCTGTCCTCAA